TGCCAAACATTAGGGGCTTTTTGCCAGCATATGGTGGGAGGTCAGATGCTTAGAGACATCCTCCCTGAAGGCATTCAATTGCCAAACAGGTAGATCTCACTCCCTGCTGTTAAGGACAATGGACTACTTCTCCCTGAAGGCTAGGGACATTTAGCTTGGTTCCTGTAGGTGGGGTTCACACCCTACTGATATTGGTTTCTATAGAGATCCAGAGACCAGGTCAAACCGGCTCAGTGACATCCAAAGTTAGCCTGTCATCCTGGATCTAGGATCCGCCCTTGTTGTCACATGTATACCCCCAATCCCTTCTCTTCCTATTGTGTGTATATCCCTAGATTGTCCCCCTCTCGTTGCTGTATAACCTATACTGCAATCCCTTCCTGTGATGTATGTCTCTACCTGTAATTGGTGAGCTTGCACTCCCCCCAAAGGTACATAGGCCTGGGTTAGCAATAAAGAGCTCTCACAGCTCCTCCCTTGACCTCCATGGTCTCCCCTCTCCTCTCCAGTCCTCACTCCGCTTGTTCTCTTTCCGCTTGTCCTCCTTCCCCTCCCCCTCTCTCCACATGGACCACGGAGCAGGGCTGAGGTGAGCATGCTACCATGGAATGTGTCTGACTCCATTATTTCAATCTCTTTTATCTCTCATTCTCTCTATGACTTTTATATAATATTTATATATCTCAAGCGTACAATTGTGCCTATTGAACCCGTGATCAGTGGTGGGGGGCTGGCACCTCTTCCAACAACAGCTTAAGACATGAAGGAGGTGCCATCAGGGTTTAAGTTGATTGACAGATTTGACTCCACCCTGAGCCAGGCATGTCTAATTGACATAATCCCTAACTACTACAGATACACAGAGCTGCTAAGGCTGAAATCAATGGCCCACTGACCCAACAACAGTAGCACTTTCCTTCTCAGCTTTTACAATAGTTTTCTTGAGCTATAATGAACATATCATTTAATTCAATTGTTCAATCATATTAAAAAGGATGCGCATTCATCAACTAAGGAACATTCTGTTTCTCCTTGTACCCATTGCTGTTGACTAACCATTTTCCACCAACCTCCCCATCCATGCCTCCAAGTCATTATTAATCCAGTTGCTGTCTTCATATATACACCCCTACTGACTGCCCTCTACAGAGAAAGACACAAAACAGAGACAAAAACAAAAAAGGAACTAGCAACAATGACTAAAAAAAAAACCAGAGAAAAACTTCAATTAAAAAGGAGAGACTATTTTTAAAATTAGAATAAGTTCAAAATGGGTCAAAAGGGAGATCTAAAGATAAGGTGCAAATTTCAGCATAATTACAGTTATAAAAGAAACACAGAGACCTACCCAAATGGAAGCATATCCTGTGTTCATGAGTAGGAAGAATTACTTTTGTGATGTAAAGCCAAATTGCGCCCGTGACTGGCTGCGGGATCTCGGGCAGGCTGTGGTTTCATGTTTCCTAGCAGTGCAAAGTAGGATGTACCCAGAGACTGAGGCTAGCCAACCCGGGAACGACACAGCGAGCCCA